GTGGAGGGAAATCTGCTTCATGGATCAGACGCTGAGATCAGACAAAGCGATGTCTCTCATTGTTTCTCCGTCCGTTACCCAGTTACTCACTTTGTATTTTACACACACTCTTCATTTCTTTGAATATCTTCATTGTGTTAAACTGCTTGCAGATGATCTTTTGTTTAGGAACGCAACATTTCTCTGTTTTGTTGTTCGGCTCAATTAGCGATCAGCTAGCTGCAGTCGACTCCACAATACAACCTAATTGCTCATTTAGCATTTTGTGTCTCTTTTCAGATTGCCAAAACACCAGAATGTGTAATCAGCGGTGGGCACTCAATGAGGCGAGGCAAATAAGTCGGCGTTTCAGACCATCATTACTGTGTGGGTGATCATCTGAGGCCAGAGGTTTGTTTCCTCCATTTAGTTTGGTCTCTGAAGATGGAGGAGAATGTAACTTTGAACTGAAGGAGATACGCATCTGATGACTCTGTCTCTGCTCTCAGTATTACGCACTATCTGCTCTTTGTTAATTTGATTTGTGTGTGAGTTGATTCACTATTATTTGATCTGAGCTAAGTTGGGCTGAGTTGAATTAGTTAATTCCTTCTGGCAAATTTCTGACCACCAAGCTACCACCACTGCCCATAATTGTAACATTATCTTTTTAAGACCAACTAGGGGAAATGTATCATTCACTTTACTGAGATTACTTCAAAAAGTAATTATGCAAGTATTGACAAGGCAATGGAAAGCATCGTCTTTGCAGTGAAGTCACGTCCTTAAAACACAGTGAACTTTAGGTGATCACAATTCATTTATCTGCTCTGCATGAATAATTTCATTTTCCTCAGCGAAAATATCAAGTTTCAATGCTTATGACATTTTACTAATGTTTGTCAAGTGCTTTGAGGTGTACCACAATAAGACATGCTGTGTGAATAGTGGGACTGGAAAGAAATGTCAGACGAGTGGACACTGAACCTGTGACGTCGGGATTATGAGACAGTCTTTTGGATTAATTGACCAAACTCTTGTCCCTCTGATGGGTATCTACTAATGAACCACTGACTAGAGGAGACAAACACAATAATGGTCTATTGACCTGTCTTTACTGCTGCAACAACCAGCCTGTCTGAACAACAGTTTGTTGGTTTGGTAGCAGTAAGGCAGCATTTTTGACTTCACTTCACAGAGCTGAGACTTCAACAGTGACCCTCTACCTCATAATGTATTCGCTGCTCTCAGTAAGAACAAATTACCTAAAGGACCCTCGACATTACATACTGAGAGTTAGATGAGGAGATCAATACTACTCTCATATGTGTTTGTTAAATATGAAGCTGGAGGCAAGAGACCGTTAGCTTAGCACGAAGCCTAGTGGCAGGGTTGACAGATAGTCCTCTTCAAAGGTAAAAGAAATCTGCCTACTAGCAACTCTTAAGTTCACTAATTGATATGTTATATCTCATTTACTTAATCCGCACAAAACTGGAGTGCAAGAACAATATGTTATAGTTTCACGGGGTTATGTGCCAGACTATTTCCTGGCCTGGAGCCAAGGAGTGACTTCCTGGATCTGACAACGATAAGACTAGATTTTATGTTTTTACACTTTGGTTTTTGTATGGCTTAAACAAAGGAGAGTATTTTAATTAGCAAGCTTTAGATGTGCTGTTATGTGGATATTTGTATGTTGAGCCAAGCTAGATGTTTCGCCCTGTTTCGTGTCTTCATGTTAAGTTAAGCTAACTGACAGACATGAGAATAGTATTCATTTTCTCATATAATTGAATAAGAATATTGCCCAAAATGTCAAACGTTTTCTTTAAAAACAATATGAAATTGGCCAGAAGAGAACAGCTTGTTTGTTGGTGAGTGTGTATGTGTATATAGACAGAATAGGCAGACCCTCCTGCAGTTTTTAGATCCCATCTCACAAAACCTATGTTGACTTAAGGAAACCAAACATGATGCACACAGACAGAGACAGGAACTACTCCAGAAATAGTAAACTAACCCACCAAGCTGAAATTAATCCTCATGAGGAATGACCACACAATGAAACCTCAGCCCTACAAAGATACAACATACGCCATAGAATCAGAAGACATAGGAACAGGATTGGTGATTGATGTTCAGAACCAGCCAAGATTACCGAACTTATATTTCGAATAAAGGAAAAACTTGAATAAATGAGAAAGCATACAATAAGACTGGCTTCATACCTTGAGTAGAATTCTGCAGACTCAGAGAGGCTGTCCTGGAGGTTCATGTTGGCCCCACACCTACGCAGTCACGTTTTTATGATGACCTCCTTTGTCCTTCTTTGTCCCAGCTGTACATCGGCAGAGAATAGAAACACACATGTCAAGTTGAACAAACTGATGATGTACGTATATCTCTGATATACGGGTAGATGGCTGTCATGCTGGCCTGTGACCAACTCCTAGACAACTGCGCAGGTAGAATAATGTCTCAGGTCTGCTTGTTAAGATCCGACAGCTGGTTTTATGCAATAAAAAGTTATTAAACATGACAGAACATGCAACATACGGAATTTTCCCTAACAAATATTTCCATAGCAGTAACAAGATACAGTCAGATGACTAACAAGGGATTTGAACTGGGGCCCATTATCTATTTTATTTTATGTTTAATATAATTTCACATAGTATAAAATTGAGAATTTATAGTATATAGTCTAGAGAATATTATAGATCCAAGATGAAACTGACAGAAGGACACGACGGCAAGAAAAAGGTGCAGTAAAAAAATCTGTCTGGTACTTCAGCACTACGGACAGCGTCATGGATTTATCAATACACAGCACAGTTAGGCTACTGATATTTCAGAGCCATGGTCGGGGCAATAGATTCTAACTTGCACAAACCTCAGTCGGATAAAGGATCAATGAATCATGCAGACTAGACTAACATATTCAAATAAACAACCTTTCTGCCCCTGCACTCTCTGTGCTGCTATAGGGGATGGAAAGGGGGATGCAGGTTAACAACGGGGTTGCATTTGGTCCTCTCCCCCTCAAATCACCTACTGTGTTTAAGTATGTAAAACTTATTTTCCTGAAAGGCATAATCTGCATTTAGAATATCTATCAAACAGTATATTTATAAACATGTATTTATCCTTAATACTTAAATTAAATATATTATTAAGACATCTGACATCCATATTGTAATGGCTCAGAGGATCTCATAAATAAAAAGGTGACTTGTAAGCTTGTGTATGACATTTATTATTATTATTATTGTTATTATTAATGCCTGCATTGGTCTCATTCCATTCTATCTCAAAGGCTATGTGATTCAGTATTTACAGTGAAATTTAAATCAGGACAATTAATGGATTCATTTTATTACAGCCACATAAGTCCCTGCTTTCCCTACATTTTGTGTCTCCTGTTTCCTTCTTTTTTTATTTGTTACAACAGTGACTTGTGTGTTTCATTTTGAGTTTCATTTTGAATCAGAGCAAAAGCATGGCCAAAGTAAAGTAACCCTAATCAGAAAGAAACAGAACGCATCCTCCTGATAATGAAGGCCGGACAGATGCATAATGAGAAACTCTGGAACTCACGCTCGTCATGATTCTTTTGTTTCCAGCGCTGATTTTTGTTTGTGAGCAGAATGACAGTAATACAGTCCTGCCACTGCCTGAAGAGAGGTTGGAGGACATCTGACTGTCACTCCCACAACATGGTGGAGGAGTGACAGCCAGATGTCCTCCAACCTCTCTTCAAAAGAACACTGCACAGAAATATGACATTTTCTTTTTTTGTTTGTGTTTTTTTTCTTACAAAGAGGTAAGAGTATATGCAATATATCACCATGGGGAGTAATAACTGGTAGTATATTGTTACAAGGAATAATCAGCTTAAAGCAGTTTTAATTCATTCAAGTTTTTTGAGCTTATGACTTCAGAGTAGAAGAAGTTGAATGTTTAGACTCTCCTCACATATTGAAAGAGTGAGAAAGAAATATTAAAATAACACTGCTATCACAGTAGCGTGAAAATGCAATAACATTAACTGAAACAAAGACGTGTGTTGAAGTCCCTCTTCACTGAAAAATTTGTTTTGCTTATTGCTGCTTTAGTTGGATGTTTGAGCTTCAGAATGACGTGTGTGCAGAGTCTGACACAAGACAAACACATTCACCTGCTGAAGGGTTTCTCTGTGCTCACATTAAATGTGAGTTCAATACACGTACGTATGAGCAGGACCACAACGTGGTTCAGTATGCATGTGATGAGGAAACGTGAAACCTGCAGTGCAGTGCACACACACACACACACACACACACACACACACACACACACACACACACACACACACACACACACACACACACACACACACACACACACACATTAAGAATGGACTTTTAAGTGTCCAGTGGTTGAACTTTTTTAGTGAACAATATTTGCATATTTATACATTTTGGACTCAGACTTATCTGATTTTTATCTTTTATCTTTTTATGATATTTACTCAATTTATTAAAGTTGTTTTCATTATGAAAAAATAAAAAATAAAAATACCTTGTTGAAAAGATAGATAGATAGATAGATAGATAGATAGATAGATAGATAGATAGATAGATAGATAGATCCTTCTTCCTTTCTCCATCCTTTCATCTCCCTCTCTCTTTCAATCTTTTTTCTCCTGCCATTTTCTCCCTCTTTTGGCTATTTACTTTTCTCCCTATCCTAACTAGTATCTTTCTCTCCCCTTTGTCTCCCTCCCTCTCTCCCTACCTCAAGCCTTGTCCCCCCCCCCACACTTCTTCTCTCTGATCTCCATCCCTCTCTCCCTTTCTCTATCACTTTCTCTCTGTGATGAAGGAGGGAGTTTTGAAAGAGAGAGAGAGAGAGAGAGAGAGAGAGAGAGAGAGAGAGAGAGAGAGAGAGAGAAAGAGAGAGAATCAGAGGAGGAGGTTGAAGGGGAGGGGTGGGTCTCTATAAGAGCAGCTGCCTCCATCCTCCACGTAGCCAGAAAAACCACGCTGAGACCGAGGGAAGGAAACGTACGCTGACGAAACCTCAACCTGCACCCACCCAAGGGACTCCTTTAGGCACCCACAATCTCACCCCAACACAGGTAAGAAGACCCTGGGGAAAAGAGGGAGAAGAACGGGCTTGACCTCTGACCTTTGATTTAAGTCTTTTGCCTTTTGCATTTTTGCCATCTGATTACTTTAATTTTGTTACATTTAGTTACATTACATATATATTGTACAAAAAGCCCTAATGGAGTCACACTTTCCAGAAAGTGAGGATATAATTTTACCTCCTTACTAGTTGCTTCTAATGTTGATGTAGCACTGTCAATCAAATACAAATGTGAACTCCCTTTTAATTAAATCTAGATTTAAAAAAGGAGACCACCGATATGTTTGAAAGCGTTTTTCAGCCACAAATTTTTCCCAACCAGTCTTTGTCTCCATCACTTGTCAATCATCTGCTGTATGCCTGCTGTAGGGTCCCATGTTAGGTGTTGCAGCTACTGTGTTGTGCTGCTGTGACCCTCTGACCCCTAAGCGCTCGTATTTACGCTGATCAAATAACTTAAGCTTTATCTCAGTGACAGACAGAGCGGGTTAGGTTAATGACTCAGTTCACTCTAGTTAACAAACCACTGATTCTGTATTTAGGGTCAGTGCATCACCTCTAAGGGAGCTATTGCAGACAATTACCTGCTATAACTAGTTTCCCAAGGTTAAATACTGTGTCTGAGTGGGTTAAAAGCATAAGGCAGCAGGGATGTCCACACTCCAAGGAGCACGAGGTGAAGACGCTCTGTCTGAGGACTACACATGCAGTTTGTTTTGTCGCTGCGTTGGTATTTAGTGAAGAGGGAGAGGTCATAAATCGTTAGTCCTGGTTAGTCATTCATCGTTAAGGCCTGATTTACTGCTGCGCTCTAGTGGGTTCCGTGAATGAGAAGGGGAGTCTTCGCAGAAAGCTGCTGTGGGCTTGTGTGTACACTTTAGCTCATGAGACACAGAGTAATGAAAGGTAATTTGGGTGAGTGCACATTGGTTAATCAGGGTCAGATTTTCTCAGGCTCACTATATTAGAGGATTATTTTTAAGTTTTCATAACGTGAAATACTTTGTTTATTCAAATAACTTCATTCTAAAGGTTCATTTAATGACAAAAACAAAACATGAAATATTATATTAAATATAGGTGTGCTTTCATACAGGGACCAATGGAGAACCTATAGTCTGATTTTAGCTTGATTTTAATTAATGATGTTGTTATTTGAAATGAAAGCTAGTTTTGGTGCAGAAATGTTGTTTCACTGACAATAAATGTGAATAAATCTCAGGCTGGTTTTAGCAGTTGAAATTACACAAAACCTGCTACCCAGACTAAAGGTGATTTTATTGATCACATATAAAGCATCTGGCCACATCTGGCCAATGGCGACATTGCAGATCCCCTTACACTTTATGAGCCAAAACCTCTCATATTCTATTCAAATGTGATTATTCAGATACATGAAATATATATTAAAAATATATTAAATCACATATTGATCTATAAATATGTATAAAACCTTTATGAACAGTATAAATTGTGTCTGTGTAACGATTTGGAAGATTATGCATCATCAACTCATCATTTTTATCATTATTTTTAGTAGTAGTAGTAGCTACAGAGTTTTTATTTTTGTTGTAGTAAAAGCTACATTATTATTATTTATTATATTATTTTTCTCATGCCTTCAGGCGTTTAGATGTAAAACGTATTATGAGGTGGGGTTTTTTTTATCTATCAAGAAGCATTTATGAAGGAATTAAACTTTAAGATTGGGTGTCAGCTTTTATTTTACACTGAATAATTAACAGTGTTTTTGTTTAGCCTGGGGCTTACTTTTCAGTTCACCTTGACAGAAACCCAATAAACAAAGTCACTGTTCAAAATGGGTGAATTAAGTGAGCTATTACAAAAAGGCTCTTTGAGCAACCTCTGATGGTTATTATCTGGGTAATAATAGCTTTTTGCATATCTCTAGAAGGAAGCTGATGTAGAACTACAGATAGCGCTCAGGAATTGAAACAAATTATGAACTGATTCAGAGAAAAGCAGAGGCTGCTTTCTCATACCTAAGGGCAAATACTCAAAGTACACCTGTGACTGCAACTGATTTTGGTAGCTATGAAATGTACCTCTGATTATCTTTGTTTTATTTTCTAGCATTTGTTCATTTAGCTGGGTGAAAGAAGGCAAGTGATGTCTTCAGTGAGGCTGTATGGAGGGAACAGAACCTAGAGTAAACTAGAAGACTGAGAGCATGTGGGTGTCCAGCCAGTAGTGGAATGAAGGGGAGACAATATGCAAGTTACATTATGAAGGTCTAACCAGAGTAGACAGGCTATATGGACACAAACCTCTGGCAATTCCAAAACACTAGCAATGTAAAATGTAAATTCAAAGTTAAAATGCCAATAAAAGAACCCGACAACACTAACATGACGCCATATACATTGTCCCTTGCGGAAACAAGATCCCAAACTGAAGCAGTTATTGATCACTTGCAGGCCCTACTGGTCGGTTAAGAGGAATGAGGTACAGCCGTCAATGGGTATATAAAATAGAGCAGTCAATAAAATGGGTTTTTCAAAAATTGTGGATCACCGCAACCACGAGAGGTCCTTGAGCATACAGTTTGTGACATGAAATGTGTGCAAAAAATATCAGATTGGTCCAGTGGTAAGCGAGATTAGCTGCAGACAGATACACACATGGACACACGAAGACACACAAATGACCCACATGATCCCCTCCAGGCTTTCGTCTAAATGGATATAGCCCAGTATCGGTATGTTAAATGAAAGTTTGAGGAGCATCATTCTAAAAACTCACTGATCCCTTTTTCCATCTCGTCAATATTAGTGAATTGAATTCATCGGTTTTGTTGCCAGCATAGCACACATTATGAGCTTTGTGGATAATAAACTCCCTTAATTCTAGGAAACCATTCTCATTTGAAAGCTGGATGGGGAAAATAGAGGGAGGATAAGTAGTGCTGGATCACAGGTCACATGGCGTAGCACTGGTGTGTGCAGCTCTGGTGGCTGCATTGAATTGGCTGTGAACGCGTGGAGTTAATCCGAGGATACAATGTTCCTAACACAGCAGGGTCCCTGTCCATCCTTTTGTGCTGAGAGGATTTCTCAGGTCCTTCTTCATGTCTCTTTAGCTCCCCCACTGTGCTCCTTCTTTTCCTGCACGGTTTCAATATCAAAGGAGAACTGACTCCTGTCAGATGCAGTTGCACTCATTTTAATTCTGGGGGCAGAGATATACGTTTAGTTGATTACACGATTGTTCTGTGGCACAGGAAAAATATCAAAATAGAAAGGCCCTGACCTTTCTTCTGGCTCCTTCATTTATTTTCTTGTAATCTTTTTAATCTAGGAGTTGAAGCATATATATTTGGAGGCCAAACTGTCAATAAGATAAAGTTACTAACTCCTCTGTGTTTGACTGTAGGACATATTAGGAAAGCTGGATACGTTTGCTGCCAGTTGTCTCCAGAGGTGGCCTTTATAGAAGAGACTTTTAAAATAATTTCTAAATTTTAAACCCAGATGATTAAATGTTTGTAAGAATGAGTCCAGAGTGACATCATAATCTATGGGACCAGCAGGTAAGAGATACTTCCACCAAAATAATTAGCTAATGTACTACCAAGTTTGGAAAATCTGGTTGTAATTCCGGGTCAGAGTTATGAGGAATTTCTTACCGCTACAATATCACCTGCTTGGTGAAGAGAACTACAGGTAAATAACATAGAATATTGACAGTAATACCATTGCTTACTCATTAAAAAGCTATGGAGTTTGTATATGGCTTAACATGTAGAACTGTTCCAAATAATGCAAAAATAGCCAATTTAGGCTATTTAAATGATGTGACTGCAAGGATCGCAGTGGGAGTAACCATCTTGGAATAATGCATAGCACTCAGAAATCAGTTAAATGGAAAGTTTTCCTGTTTTCCCCATTCTGCCAACATTATGTGAGTGAACAGAACAGTAAACCAGGAAGAGAGAAAATCTCTTTTGGTGCATGGACATCATGAGAAACCTTTATTTAGATGAACAGGCGCTATCTTGGAGTCCGGTCCCCTGTTCTTATACAACATCTTAGGGTTCGGTGTTAACATTCAGCAGCATTGCAGCGTCATGTCTGATGAGATTTTGATTTTCATGAAAATCATGAAAATGTTAACAAAACCATACTAGATAACAACCTTTATCAATTTAATCTACTTTAACTGTTTTTAAAGTTAAATGATGAGGTGCTCAAAATTTTCTTTCAAGGACAATAGATATCCATAAAACCATATTTCACATGCACCATCATATGTCAGAATTCCAAGAAAAGTAGATACTCCCTAAAGTAATAGAACATCTAATCGCTGATCAGGAATTGGTGCATGACTTTGGCTCTCAGTTGTAGGGTTTAATATATTTAAGCTAATATTTTTGACCTCACAGAAGTCTCCTACACATACAGTACAAAGCAAAGTCTTGTAGTGCTGTTATGTTGTTATGAATGAACTCCTCTAAAGTTGATAAAAATTTAATGTTTTGGATGTGGACAAATGGCACCTCTTCTTTTCTTCTGGCAGAAATGAATGATTATAAAAATGATGTCCCGTATAACTAAGGCTTTGGCGTACATCGCTGAGTCTTCTATGCTGTACTGTCATATAAGAAGAAGGAAACTCTTGGATGGAACTGTTGTGCCAAATGAAGACATAGCTTAAATATTTTCTTAAGCTCCACAGCACTGTGCTCTGTGTCACAGAGGTCTGGAGAAAAGCTTATTAAAAAAATCACCACAAGACCTTCAGAAATCCTTTGGCAAAATTCCATAATTCAGTGTTTCATTCAAAATAGCCTACCTTTATCTTAGTTTGACTCGTCAAAGCAGAAAAGACCCATGAAATAACATTATTGATGTCTTCCATTTGTGCGTCAGTGAGCCAGACACACCTGAATTGAATTGTCATTAGTATTAGTATTAGTTACACCTGTTTTCAACAAAGGCCTGAGCCTATGAGTTTGAAAATGCTTGCCAG